CAAGCAACATTCGAGCATCAAGTAATCAGAATCAAGCATAACCTAATCAAGCCATCCTAATACTGATTGATCAATACTAGCATGCAAGTCTATAAGCTCATACAACAGGCATACAAAGGCATCTCTCCTAGATCCTTAACCCTAATCTAGCATGCAATTCACAGATTCACAATTTAAAACATATCATAAACATGTATGAGTATTTTGGGAAAACTTACTTGAGCTCGGCTGATTGCATGCACCACACCCTTTCTTATTTTAGAAAACCTTTTTATTAAAATATGTTTCTTTTTAAAAACTTGACCAAATCCTCAGTTTGAGTTCAGACACACCCGAGAGTGTGCCCGGATCCCTCAAACCAAGACTCTAATACCAACTTGAAACATCCAAAAATTATGACCCAAAAATTTCATTTTTAAATTAAGTAAAAACAGTATTGCAAAACATTATTCATACATCCCGATGGAATAAATATGTCAATCATCATAAAAATTAGAGTATGTCCCATAAACAGAATCCATATGGTGTGTGCGATGCAGTCAACCCGAGCTCTTCCCCTTGGAACTAGAAGTACCTGAAACATAAACTAAAAACCATAAGCATAAAGCTTAGTGAGCTCCCCACAGTATCACATACCATACATACAATGAACATATAATGGGCCCGCCCGACATCGGACCCTGCCCGGCATCAGGCCCCGCCCGGCATCGAGCCCCGCTCGGTAATAGATCGGGCTTCGCCCAGCATACATATAACATATATCAAATAATCACATACACATGCAATAATCACAAAGATACATAACATACAAATGGTCATCGGGCCCCGCCCAGCATCGGGTCCCGCCCGGTAGCATATAAACACATAACACATGCAAGAGTCACGCACACAGCTAGCATACTGACATAGCAAAAGCATGGGCCGACATTGGTGCCTTCGACCCGCTAAACCCAGTGAGGAAAACTCACCTCGGAAAGCCGAATGAAACGAACGATCCCTCACTGTTGGTCCTACAGCTCCCAGAGCTATCAATTGCCACATAAAAACTAATTAACGTTTGGGATCTACATCAACCACAAACCTCTACTTGGGGTAAAAAGACCATTTTACCCCCAACCTAGCTTGGTCCAAGAATGTATCCCATAACCACAATCCAATGGGCCCAAAAGTTAAACAATCCATCAAGGCCCAAAATATGGCCTAAATTTCATTGCCTAATCCCTTCACATGGGCCTAAGACCAAGGCCCAGTAATATTCCTGACCCTTAAAACTACCAAAATCAGATGGCCCAACTAAACTCTAACCTTCTAAGCCCAAACCTAGGCCCAAACCGAAAGTCCATCATCGAAATGCCATCAGACTGAGTACGTTGGGCATACTCAGCTGGTACGCTAAGCGTACTAGCTCGAGGGCCTGTACGCTGCGCGTACAGGCTTGTACGCCCAACGTACTCAACCGGTTCACCCACCTTCTACTTTAAGCACTTAACTCGTTAAGACTTCACCCCAAAGTGCATATCTAGCCTTCTTAAGCTGAAATATCACATAAACTTGCTATCTTTACATCCATGCATGACCATAAGATGCTCTAAAGCTCAAAAAGGACTTAATGAATGCATGAGGCCACTAAACCCATAAAGTTGGTACCTTTATGCCAAAAGAGCCCATGAAGACCTTAGATATGAAAGAATAAGCCTTTGGGACGTCCTAATCCCAACATCCATCCAAACCATGGCTAAAAACATAACTATTTAACCCAAAAAGAGATCTAAGCATCTAGCAACCAAGATAATAACTTGATACCTAAAATTTCTTGCAAAATGGGTAGTGGTTCTGGATCCAAGACTTCCTTCTCCAAGCTTAGCAACTTCAAAATCTTCTAACTCTTTCACAATGGACAAAATGAACACCAAGCTCTCTTCAAGGACTCAAATGCTTGACAAAGGAGGCTACAACTCGATTTAAGGTTTTGAAGGCTTTGGGTGTTGGTAACGAGGCCAGTCCCAGAAGATAAGGATGCTTAAATAGGGTGCAACACCCCCATTTAGGGTTTCATTAAAGTCCATGTATGCCCAGCGTACACATGTGTACGCCCAGTGTATGCGACATAAGTCCCGTCTCGCCACTAACCCAGTACGCTAAGCGTACCAAGTGGTACGCCCCGCGTACTACTTCAGGGACCAAAATGCAATTATTGAATACTCAAGGGGTTATAAGGCACATACCAGGGCACAAGTGTTACAAATTAATAGTGTAATGACCTAAGTTGTAATTGTTCAATAGCTGAACAAAAGGGTTCCAGAACCTTCCCCATAAAGGTGGACGGTTTGGTGGGTGATTCTAGGGCTTCTAGAATATCCATTGAAGATAATTAGGAAACCAGATAATTACCTGCTTTGAGAATATTATTATTTTAATCAAGTAAGTGTTATCTAGGGTTTTCCTATCAGCTATAAATAGGGTTCCTCATCTCTCTTCAAGTTTCCTTAGTTGCTAGGGTTTGGGTGTGAACCATCTGAGGCACGAGATTTCTCTTGCTTGCTTCCAAGAGAAATTGAAGAAGGAGTTCATTGATTATCTACAAGAATAATCAAAAGGTATGTAATCCCTAACTTGTTTATGATTTTCAAAAATAGCTAGGGTTTATAGCGTTCTTGTTGTTCAATAGAATGTTATGACTTAGATCTAATAGGTTGCATGTACCCTTAAGTGTATAAGCATTTATCCACATTATTGAATGTAAAACCCATCATATATATATATATATATATATATATATATATATATATATATATATATATATATATATATATATATATATATATATATATATATATATATATCAGTGTTGCAGAAATCGGCCTAATCGGCCGATTAATTGCTAATCGGATCTCCACCGATGAGATTTATTGTTAATCGGTCACTATAATCGGGTTTGGTCAATACAGGTCAAAGTCGGAATTAATCGGACCTAATCGAGCCTAAACGGACCTAATCGGACTTAATTGGACCTAATCGAGTTTGGTCAATGTAGGTCAAAGTCGGACCTAGTCGCCGATTAATCGCTTTTTTTGTAGGATTAAAATTAGATTTATAAATTTTTGAATAATTTTCTTAATAAATAATGGTCCCCGATTAATCCTCGTATAGCCGATTAATCCTTAATCGCTAGTCCACCGATTAGCGATTTCTGCAATCATGATATATATATATATATATATATATATATATATATATATATATATATATATGTGTGTGTGTGTGTGTGTGTGTGTGTGTGTGTGTGTGTGTGTGTGTGCAGACTAGTGAAGACGCGTCACGTCGCAGCCCACGTGTATCCCAGAGTCTACCATGTGTCCTACTAACATGAGACGTATCGTGCCACCCAGCCACACCGATACGCTAGGACTTAACATGTTACATCGCAAGTTTTGCCACATACCTATCTTTTTGCCATGTGTCGCATTCTCTTGACACGTATCCATGACCTGGACACGTTGACACATCGTGTCAAGTAGAGAACGCGTCACGTTCTTTCATTTTTTTTCGTTTTCTTGATTTTGCTCAAACATGTCATATTCGAAAGACTCTATATACCGAGTAGAGTATAGTCAAATACTCAAATTTTCGGTAGTTACAATTGGCAAGTTCCTCATCCAACTTCGTGTTCATTAGAAACAGATTTCATCTTATTTGGAACAATCCCTATACTAGGATCATCAGTAGGATTCTCATTCACCTTCTTCATTAAAAACAAATTTTCATTCTCACCTGAAAAGTTACCTTCACTTGGACCGTGTGTGGGCTTCTCATTCATCTTCTTCTTCATTCAAAGCAAATTTTCATTTTACTAGGAACGTGTGTTGGGTTTTCATTCGACTTCATCATTAGAAGCAAATTTTCATCCTCATTTGGAAAATTACCATTCACTAGGATCGTACACATGTTACTTATTCATACAACTATGGGGAAGTTCATTATCATACCAATCAAAACAACCATAATTTTCTTCCTCATTTGGAAAGTTTTGCAACCAAAAAAATACCTATTTGGGTTTTTATCATTACAAAATAACCAAAAAACTAGCTTGAACACCACAATAACATCAACAATGTGGTTGATTTCGTTGTCTGCGCACATAAATTTACTAGATCAAGAATGCATCACCATTCTTCTCTATATGTTGAATTTCCTTCCACAAACATTTGTTACCTAATTAAAGTGAAATAGTGTCATATCATAGTGTTCTGCCATATAAGCAATTGACCACATCACCCACAAGCAACAACTGTATAACATTGTTCATAAGAAAAACGTCAAAAACAAAAACGGATAAATTGGTGACATCTGTGACATTTATTCTTAAATAGATAAAAAAGCAATAATCAATAAAATAATTTGACATTGATGTGAAATAAGTGGTTATTTTAAACGAATTTCCAGTATTATGATCATTTTATTAACACAAATCTCAGTTTTGACTATATTTATAGTTTTTTAATAAGAATTTAACGAATGAAATCAATTTATAGTATATAGTTATTGGTTAAGAATGCATATAAATTTGATTTAAGTTAAATGAGGACGGAATCTGATAAAAAAAAAAAAAAAAAGACAGTGATGGATCCATCCTTAATCACACGTACGCAGACAGAAAAAAGAAGAGACAAACACACTTCTTTTAAGAGAAAGGAGAGAGAATTGAATACAAAGAAAAATCCATTATCTCTCTCTCTCTCTCTCTCTTCTTTCTCTTCCCCTTGCATCTATCTCCAGGTAAACTAACAGTGAAGATGGGTCACATGCCATGTGACCAAACAGCTGTATCCACACCTCTCTCTCCATCCCAAATATACTCTCTCTCCCTCTCCATCTCTCTCCAAAACCCAATCTCACTTTCTCTCTCTACATTCCCCCAACTGGAATGATGTAAGCTAATCAGTTATTGATAATCTCCTGAAAAAGCTAAGATAACATCATCTTCCATTTCCTATACCATCATGAAACCTTATAGCTTTAACCGATTTCTTGTCTTTCTTGCTTTGCTTCGTTGTCTCGCTTATGTCAATGGCGATGTGGGTGAAGCTGAGCAGCTATTGTTCTTCAAATCTACTCTTCAAAACCCGAATCGTTTACCCGACTGGCTCAAAGGAAACAACCCATGTACTTTCACCGGTGTTACTTGTAAAAACTCAACTGTTTCATCCATAGATCTGAGCAATATTGATTTGAGCGCAGATTTTGGTGTGGTTTCTTCCAGCTTGTTGACTCTTCCGAGTCTTGAGTCGTTTGTAGCTAAGAACTGTAACCTCACTGGTACACTTTCATGGGGGTCGAGATCTCAGTGTAGTAAGCTTCTTAGCTCAGTAGATCTGGGTGTAAACCGGATCACCGGTTCTGTTTCTGATGTTTCATCGTTGTCGGGTTGTCAGAAGCTCAAATCCCTCAATTTGTCGAGAAACTCGATGGAGTTTACGGGTGTTTCGAAGCCTATTGGGCTTTCTCTTCAGGTTATTGATCTATCGTTCAACCGGATTTCTGGGTCGGAAGTTTTGCCGTGGATACTATCAGAGGGATGTGGTGAGCTCCTAGAGTTTAATGTTTCCGGTAACAACATTTCCGGCACCGTTCCCGAGAGCTTGAAAGCATGTTCTTCTCTTCAACTGTTTGACATCTCCCGGAATAATTTCTCCGGCGTGTTTCCGATGGACACCCTTATGAATTTGAGCAGCTTGAAGACTTTGATGCTGGCGTTCAATAATTTCATCGGTGAGTTGCCTGAATCCTTGTTGGAGCTGACCAATCTGGAGAAGTTTGATGTGAGTTCCAACAAGTTAACCGGTGAAATCCCGGCGGGACTCTGCCAGAGTACTTCGTTGAAGGTATTGTATCTTCAGAACAACTTGCTCACTGGTACTATCCCTTCATCTCTTAGCAACTGTTCACAATTGGTGTCACTTGATCTCAGTTTCAATTCGTTAACCGGAGTGATCCCGTCGAGTTTTAGATATTTGTCAAAACTTCAGGATTTGATGATATGGATGAACCTGCTCTCCGGTGAAATCCCAGAAGAGCTTACGTACATTCAAACTCTCGAGAATTTGATCCTCGATTTCAATTATTTAACCGGATCAATCCCAGCTAGTTTAAGCAACTGCACCAATTTGAATTGGATTTCCCTTTCCAACAACAGATTAGGCGGCGAAATTCCGGCAGCCCTTGGTCAGTTATCCAACCTTGCCATTCTTAAACTCGGGAACAACTCATTTTCCGGGAACATTCCGCCGGAGCTTGGGGATTGTAAAAGCTTGGTATGGTTAGATCTCAACACCAATCAGTTAACTGGCACTATCCCACCTGCTCTCTTCAAGCAATCTGGATACATCGCTGCTGCATATCTTACCGGGAAACCATTTATATACATCAAGAACGACGGGAGCAAGCAGTGTCACGGCGCCGGAAATTTACTGGAGTTTGGAGGAATCCGTCGAGAGGATTTAGACAGGATTTCGTCGAGACATCCCTGTAACTTCACGAGATTGTACTTAGGGATCACTGAGCCAAACTTCAACCATAACGGATCAATGATCTTCTTTGATCTTTCGTATAATAAATTGGAGGGAGGAATCCCAAAGGAGCTTGGATTAATGTATTATCTCTTCATACTGAATTTGGGGCATAACGATCTTACAGGTCCGATTCCCGATGAACTTAGCGGGTTAAAGACGATAGCGATTCTTGATTTATCACACAACAGACTCAACGGATCAATCCCAAATTCGTTGACCACCCTCGGTCTTGGTGACGCCGATCTATCCTACAATAATTTATCAGGAAGCATCCCGGAATCTGCTCCGTTTGACACGTTTTCACCGGACAAATTCTCAAATAACTCCGGTCTCTGCGGGTACCCTCTACCTGCATGTAAACATGATCCAAACGGTAAATCGAACTCTCATTCCAAGTCCAACAGACGGGAAGCTTCCCTCGCCGGAAGTGTCGCCATGGGGTTACTCTTCTCGTTGTTCTGTATCTTTGGAGTCATCATAATCTTAGTAGAAATGCGAAAAAGAAAACGGAAGAAGGCGGCCGCAGCCCTCGAAGCATACGCCGACAACGGCAATTCGTATTCCGGCGGCGGCGCTGCCCACACAAGCACTGCATGGAAACTAACCAGCACCCGCGAAGCTCTAAGCATAAGCCTCGCCGCTTTCGAAAAACCCTTGAGAAAACTCACATTCGCCGATCTTTTAGAAGCCACAAACGGGTTCGACAACAACAGTATGATCGGGTCCGGCGGATTCGGTGACGTTTACCGGGCCCAATTAAAGGATAACTCCATCGTTGCAATAAAGAAGCTAATCCACGTCAGCGGGCAAGGTGATCGAGAATTCATGGCGGAAATGGAAACAATCGGAAAAATAAAACACCGGAATCTCGTCCCGTTGTTGGGTTACTGTAAAGTCGGGGACGAAAGGTTACTTGTATATGAATACATGAAATTCGGAAGCTTAGAAGACGTGTTACACGATCGGAAGAAAACAGGACTGAAATTAAACTGGAATACAAGACGAAAAATCGCAATCGGATCAGCCCGAGGGCTAGCTTTCCTCCACCATAACTGCATCCCTCATATAATCCACCGTGACATGAAATCGAGCAATGTTTTACTCGATGAAAATCTGGAAGCCCGGGTGTCGGATTTTGGAATGGCGAGACATATGAGTGCCATGGACACGCATTTGAGTGTGAGCACGTTAGCAGGAACACCAGGGTATGTCCCGCCTGAGTATTACCAAAGCTTTAGATGTTCAACAAAAGGGGATGTTTACAGTTACGGGGTGGTGCTTCTGGAGCTTTTGACCGGAAAACAACCAACAGATTCTCCGGATTTTGGTGATAATAATCTTGTTGGGTGGGTGAAACAGCATGCAAAGACGAAGATAAGTGATGTTTTTGATCGGGACTTGTTGAAGGAAGATCCAGGGTTGGAAATTGAGTTATTGCAGCACCTTAAGGTGGCGGTGGCTTGCCTGGATGACCGGCCATGGAAGCGGCCGACGATGATTCAGGTGATGGCGATGTTTAAGGATATTCAGGCGGGGGCAGGGATTGATTCGGGTTCCGCCATTGCCACCGGTGATGCTCATTTTAGCACGGTTCCAGAGGTGGAGATGACCATTAAAGAAGACGGCGAACAAGGGAAACAGTGATGGTCTTTTCGGCTGAATGCCGTTTTGTATTTTGTATGTATTAATATTAGTTTTTGGGGGGTAATCCTGTCATTATACATAAAAACATTGTTCATCAATTTTCATGTATATATTTACATAAATAGGTTTGAGAGTCTTATGTTTTCCTTCATCTAAAACCATTTTTATTTATAATTTCATTTCAATGGACTAAGTTTTGTGTTTGATCTAATAAAAATCTTAATAAGATTTCAATAATTTCACTAAAAAATATTTTAAATTGTTGTATTAGTTTTAAAAAGTCAAATAGGTCAAATATGATAATGTAGTTAAAATGAAAGTTTGAAACCACAAGAACTCACGTCCAGTCTTTGAAACAACAAGAACTCAGTGCTACGTAGCATTTTTTTATAGTTGTATTGAATCAATATATTGTGATTGAAACACAATGTAATTTTGTCTATATAGTATTTTCATGTCAATTAATTATACGATTAATAAAAAAAGAAATATCTCAATAGTTTTGACCTGATTCATACTGTATTTCAGTAAAAATATAAATATCAAAAGAAAAACAATTGGATGATATACAAAGTTGAAGGAGGTGTGTTCATTATTCAATCCATAATAGAATGAAAAAGCTGACGTGTGCGATGGTGACCAAAGTAGTAGACCACTTTCTTCTCACCCTTAACCACATGTTTCTTCTCTTTCTTTCATCATGCAATTCTATCGCTTTTATCTCTTTTTACCCAGAAAAGCATGTGAAACTGATCAAATAATTAGATACTTGACGTACCAAAAAAAGATTTATATATGGAGGTAATAGAAAATTATAAATAACTAAAATTTCTATTTATATATGTAAGTACTAAGTCGTGACAATCGAAGTTAATATTAATGATTGGATACTTTATTTAGATTGTTTACCTATTTGAAACAACTTGAATAAGAAAGGTTTTGTGTTCACTCTTTATTATTCCGGTATGGAATTTTACATTGAGTCAAATTTGAGTTAAATGACCACATTTTTGAAGTTGTTCCGTGTGTGTTCTATTTGGCAACATCTTGCTTGATGGAGGGATTTACACATCCCTCATATTTGTAGTGGTAGATTTATTACATTCAACAGACAATAATAGAAGATAATGTTGTATTTCGGATTTGGCAATCAAAACAATCAAATAATTAAGATAATTAGTATTGTGACCTAATATAAAACTCTAGGGAATATTAAAATCAAATGAGTAGATAATTAACATTAATTATTAATAATCAAATTGTTATTACAAAAGCAACAAAATGACAAATAATATGAAGAATTAAATGTTGAATCGCCGCAAATAATAAATCAAATTATTGTTATTATTATTAAACTATCATGCAGAAATATGATCAATCATTCTCGATCAAAACTAATTATAATAAATGTACACAAAGACTGTCTCGAATAATCTTCATTTGAGCACACTAAACCTTTTTCATGACCCTAAGATTGATAAAACATTAATCTTTATTTTAGACTTTACAACCTCTAGATCATATAAACATAGTTTTACAACATCTATGTTGTTAAGATGTCTTCAAAATTTGTTAAGAGCCTTAACTCAAACTCTTTTTTGGCAAAGACGTACTATCTTATCTTACATGGATCTATCATTATTATTTATAGTATCTTATATCGATCAGGTGATTTCGTTAATTCTTTAAACTTAGGAATTAAGAGCAGTAGTTTCAAGTTGGGTTTATGTAGCACCCACATTTTGAGGCTATAATTTTTAGCTTTTTAGTACAATTAAAATTTATAAAAAAAATAGTTATATAAATAAATTAAATAGCTAAAATAATAAGTAAAATAAATAAATAACAATGTTAAAATAGTCATATAATAAAAATAAATCTATCGATTAAATAAATTAACCTCATATTTCAACTCAAACGTTAGAAAATATACTTGGCAATTTACGGAAAACATCGTAGTTGATCATGAATTAACCAAACTAACATTTTATGAACCATTTGGTTAGAAAATTTGTTAGTTAAGGTTAAGTTGGTAAGTTGAGAATTGACTAATTACTAGACAAACTGGATGGCCAAATTTAAAGAATTGGAGGTTAAGGGGTTAAATGTGTTAAGTAGCCGGCTTTAAAAACACATTTTAAATTCAATATAGAAAACTTTATATTATGTATTCAGAATCAACTAAAGAATATATCTATTTAATATAAAGATTACCTTATTAATAAAAGGGTTGAAAAACGAAAAAGAAATAAGAAAAAAATTATCGCATGTTATCATCATATGATAATCCAATTTGTCAAGAAGTACCTTTGTAGGCCCTTAAATAAGATGATGGCTTTCCACAAATATCCGGTTCCCACTGCCCATACCAAAACACTTTTAATATTTTTATTTAAAAACCAGTTCTGTAAAAACATATGGCATGCATAGTTGCATACACAAGTATCTAATCGACTCTATACGTATAGAATTAACCCAACGTAATTTATAATTTGTTTACGGAATATGGTAATTCTAGTGTGATTGTGAATTGTGATACATGCTTTTTGTATTTGAGTTGGTTATGTTTGATATTAAGCGAATGCCGTCTCGTAGTCAATTTTAAAATTATATGATTAAAGTTTTTACAAATATATTTTGTTGAATAACTATAAAATAATAATATTTATACTAAGACGATATATACTTTAACTATTTTGAATAATATAATAAAATAAATATCTATTAAAATCATATTATTAATATATAAGACTGTAACGATTTTGAATAATATAATAGGATAAACATCTACTAAAATCATATTATTCAATAATGTATATTCATTTTGCATCTCCATTTATGCTTATACTTTACATTATATATAATTGTCTTAAAAATATACTCCTTTAATTTTTTCAAGTTTATTTAATATTTTAATTTACATTTTAAATTTAACATCATATTTATATTAACAAATTAAATATATTAAATTAATAATTATTAAGTTGTAGCATTTAAAAATAATGTTTTACAACCACTTAAACTAATAGATTAAGTAATTTTGGTTGAAAGTTAAAGTGTTAACATGAAATTTATAATAATAATAATAAAAGAGTTGAATGTATTCTCTAAAGAAGTTAGTAAGGTTTTGAAAGTTTCAAATCAATTTAATACATTTTGATTTAGGTTTTATATTTAATATTATATTTAATTGTTTTTATTAAAAATAGTCCTTAATATTTTTTTTAAGTTTATTGGTCATTTTTATTTATGTTATACGTTTAACATCATGTTATATTAACAATATTAAGTATGTTATATTAATAATTATTAAATGGTAGCATTAAAAACATAATATGTTAACAATATTAAGTATGTTATATTAATAATTATTAAATGGTAGCATTAAAAACATAATATGTTACATCTGGTCAAAACTAGTTGATTATGTAACATTCTTAAATTATGGCTAAAATAAATATTTATTAAATAAATAAATAATAATCTAGGAAAATAATAAAAACAATATGTTAAATGGGACTTGAGCATTTGGAGCATTCTCATGAAGCATTTGAGTTCAATGGAGCACTTAGGGTTCATGGAGCATGCGACGAAAGAACGAATCATCTGAGAAATGAATGGATCATTTGACAAACGAAGATATCTTCTAAAAGGGATTATTGAGCACCTGAGAGTGGAATGGAGCATCTTGGTGTAACGACCCAATTTTTCAAAAGAAATTTTTCATTTTTAAATAGTCAAAATCGTTTTTAATAAACCATAAAATCTCAGGTACATTTGTTTTCAAATTCATAACATCAACAATATTATTCCAAACAACAGTGTCCCATAAAAACGCCTGAGAAAGAGTGCATGTCGCGTCGTCAAGCATTGCTTTTGCCCTTAGGCTCAAATGTACCTGAAACAAACCCACAAATTGTAAGCTAATGCTTAGTGAATTCCCCAGTGCATACCCCACACAATCCACATAATCACATAATCATATTAGCTATAAAAGCTACATAAACCACATAAGCCATGCATACAACATATAGGGATGTTGTGGGCTCATCCCTAGGGTCTTACTCCAGGATGCCATGGGCTCCCCACATGGTCTTACACCTAAGTGTCATGGGCTCTCCCATGGTCTTTAATAGGAAAGCCATGGGCTCTCCACATGGTCTTACATCCGGGTGCCATGGGCTCTCCCATGGTCTTTAGTAGGAAAGCCATGGGCTCTCCACATGGTCTTACATCCAGGTGTCATGGGCTCTCCCATGGTCTTCCATACAAGCATACCACATATACAACTAGCATACTTCCTAGCACATAACCAACTATCATGCCTCATAATATAACTTCAGCTAGTGTACCACACATCATAAAATGGGTCGGCCTTGGTGCCTTCGACCCATTGGTATGGTGAGGAGACTCACCTCTTGTGAATGCTGAACTGACAAGATAAGATTTGATAAGTCCCAACGCACAGCTCCAACTCAATTGCCTATAATCATCATGTGATTAATTTGTCACAATCCTGAAATACCATAAATACCCTCAAAGTCAACGTTGCTCAACCCTGGTCAACAGTCAAGGTCAACAGTCCATGTTGACCCCAACTCTTCGAGTGCATCCAACCAATCGTCGAGTTCCTTCAGAGTTTATACAACCGAAGTCCCAAGTCAACTCGCCGAGTCACTTGAGTAACTCGTCGAGTTCCTTAACGTCCAAGGGCCGAAAACTCTAAACTAGAATCTCTTGACCGAAATCTCTTAATCAGCTCACCAAAATCACTCTGGATCCCAAAAGCGGAAAACCCTACCCGACTCGTCGAGTTGGCTAAGCAATTCGTCGAGTCCCCACAGTCCTTTTGTGTTCAGACCTTTCCAGTGGAATCCAAGGCTCCAAATTACAGATCTAACCTCTTATGGTGTAGTTACCACGTAAAGTTGCAAACTTTACGTGCATGCAAGGCCTCCCAAGGCTTAAACACTAAAACTAGGGTTCATGCAACACTTAGG